TCCTACGGGAGGAGGGGAGGGGGTGGGGCATAGACCTTTAACCTGTATGTCGTAATTAATAAAGTAGACATCAAACAAGGCAGTGTGAAGCTGTGGGCGAGGAATGCAAACGAGGAATGAACGTCGTACACGTGAACCGCCATCGAGTCATGTATCCAGATGCTGAAGACATTTGCCAGTGAAATTCGTAGCCTGCTCGACCCTTCACGTAAAATAAGGGACAGAAAAACGGACTCTGACAGTCGGAAACTTAGCACCTCATTTGCATCATGCACAGTTCTTAATGTAAATCTGCAGCAAACAGACATTTCGATTCACAACTAATCGCGTGCCTCGCCCAGGTCTTTACGGAAAGTTGGGATCAGGAAGAACGGACTCATTTATTTGGATACGTAGCTGTACACCAGCGATAAGCATAGCTCGTGCTGTAAACTTAGCCGAAGAAATAACGCATATTACTCACTATTGTTGCATAATCGGCCAGCACTTTCTGCAGCAGTACGAATGTTCATTGGAACCGTGAATGATGGACTTTGATCAAGCGCGTAGTTGTTGCGTGCAATGCTCGCCGTTTTGATATCAGTTTGGTGGAAAGTGACGTCTGCTGCAACGCATTCTCTATCACCGGTCATTTAAGCTAGGAACTAGTATGAGTTTTTACGAAAACTGGAAGCAGAAAGGACAGATTATATGGTGGACACGAAGCTGTTTGTTTGCGACGTGCATAGATCTTAATGCAATTTTGGAACAACAAATGTGCCTTGAGGTTTATTCTATATGAACAGTTTTACAAAATGCTTCGCATTTAGGCCAGAAGGCTACTCAAGCCCCAGTGAGTCATGTGATATTGCACTGAAATTGCTCATTTATTTGCTTCCAAGCACGGCAAGCCTTCAATGAATCAATCGGAACGCATCGCTGTAACATCCTTCTGTAATTGTCTGCGATTGAACTGACTTATTGACTATCGGTCTCTAACCGAACTGATCCAGTACGCATTTCAAGCATGCAGGTTTGATTGCTTGGACCGCACTTCAGGAATAGTTAATGTCATGTGTAAGTGGCGGACAAGTTTATTATCTGCCTGTATTTTCGTTCCAGCTCTTTAATAACTTGGCTAACGGTCATGTGACAGGACGCCAAACACTAAATGAAAGTAACCGCATGAATTTCCGGTCCTTCGCGGTGTGGCTGATTCGGCATGGCTTCCGGGCCAATGGTTCGGTTCTGTTTAATTTTTGGAGATGGGTTCCACGCATCAGGCGGCCAAGGACCAAGGAGGTGCTCCTGGAAGCTCTTGTTCTATAGTTTTACGGATACCAATGCCCCTTGCTTTGGCAATCATGGCGGGGCAACTGGAACAAGGGAGACGTTTTTAATAGCGTTAGTTCAGATGATAAATGACTGCCAAGTTGCGCGTGGCACTCGGCGGCCATTAAACACGCGCTGGGATGACCTGTCGAATATCCTTTACTCAGGTACGAGAGTAAATTTGACTAACCTAAGATCTCAAGAACTAAGAGAGCTAGAAACACCAAGTTCCCAGGGTGTACTGACCTGCAGATAAATATACTTGTGTCAGGATTTGAGGCTCCTAGGTTTTGATGTTTGGATCAAATAAGGTCAAACAAAGTCAAGCTTTAAATTGGTGTCCAAATTGCCCCCAGACCGTCTCATGCAGCCGCCATGAACCTAGATACCTGGTCTAAGCAAAACCTCACGTGCTCATTTAAGGTCAGTGACCTTTTACACCTCTCGAAGCTCATGGTGACCAAAACCATAAAATATTTCTCTGAGTTTTGCATTTGGATAAGCGTCAAACATTACGCTAGGCAGTATGTTCCACAAAATAAAATGTTCGTCCGGGTCCTTTCAGGTCAGTGACTTATTCTGATGTTTAAGGAGTCCA